CGAGGACTAATATATATATATATAAAACTTTGGCTTTCAAAACTTTTTTACCAAGGAATCTTTTATATGTACAACTTTATGTTTCAATTATTTGGCTGAGGGCCAATATATATAACTTTGGCTTTCAAAACTTTTCTGGCCGAGAATGCTTTATACGCGAAATTTTTAGCCTTTAAACATTTGGCCGAAGACCAAAACGGTTTCCTTAATTGGCCGAGGGCCTTTTAATATGTAAAACTTTCAATTGGCCGAGGACCAAAACGGTTTTCTTAATTTTTGATTCCTTTTAATTCCTTTGACCGAGGGCATAAAACAAATTTCAACTTTCAATTGGTCGATGATTATTGTATATGAAACTTATAGTTTTCCAACTTTCTGGCCGAGGACTAATAACGTATATAAAACAGTTTTTAGAAGTTTTTCTGGCCGAAAAGTCTTTAATAGACCGAGGGGTTTTAAATGTTCGAATTTATACTTAATTGAGTTCGTTCTTTGACTGAAGAATCTTATATGCTTAGAATCACTTAATCATAGGTATGCATTTTCATCCGAATTTGATTTTGCTTGTATCCTTAATCGAGTCTGCCCTCGATCTAAGGTTGTCTCTTTGCATGCTTGACTGTGTCATCAAATGAGAGTCATGTTTTATTTCACGACTACGCCGAGTGTGTCCTCGGCTAAAAGTCTTGAGTTCTCGTGTTTGGCTAGGTGAGTCCTCGGCCGAGGCCTTGGTTTTTCAAGCTCGTTCGAGTAGGTTCTCGGCCAAGGTCTTGATTCATTTTTTATGCTCGACCGAGTGTGTCCTCGGTCGAGGTCTTGATTTGTTTTACGTACTCGACCGAGTGTGTCTTGTTGATTGAGTCAGAAGATTTTTAGTTTAGGAAATCTATTTTGAAATTTTATATTTTTGTTTTTATGTGTTTCAGTTAATCTTTTTCCCACAACTAGGAATATGCTGTTAGACGTGGGTTATTTGGCTATTTTCTAGGAATTCAGTTGTAGAGTTAAGTCTATAAACTTGGCTGTTTTCATTTGTGAATCAGAAAGTGCTCTTAGATATGTTTCTATCCTTTTGCACTCTATACAATTTGATCTTAGTTAACATGTCTTCTGTCAAGGTTTTGATTTGTTTTTCTTGCTCGACCCAGTGTGTCCTCGGTCGAGGTTTTGATTCGTTTTTCACTCTCGACCAAGTGTGTCCTCGGCCGAGGTCTTGATTCGTTTTTTATGCTCGACTGAGTGTATCCTCGCCCGAGATCTTGATTCGTTTTTCACGCTCGACCGAGTGTGTCCTCGGCCGAGGTCTTGATTCATTTTCTCTTTTTTATTTTTGAAAAAGTTCCTTGTCTTATTATTCATTGGGGTGCCTCGTTAAAAACCTTGCTTAGCAAAAACCCTTTCACGTTCTTTTAGGGATAAAAAGCTAAGCAAGGAAAAGAGTACACCAAGATACAAGGTCTTTCAACTGTAATAAATTTTCAAGTGTGTTGTATTCCATGTTCTTGGAATCAACTTTCCATTTAGTTCTTCTAGCTTGTACGCTCCATTTTGTAGGTCTTGATTAATTCTATATGGTCCATCCCAATTGGCCGAGAGCTTTCCTTCCCTTGGATTCCTCCTTGCTTTGCCTGTGCTTCTCCATACCAAATCACCTTTGTGAAATTCTAGAGGCCTTACTCCCAAATCTTCTCATCATCCTTCTTTTGGTTGCTTCGGCATTGATGAGGGCTCTATCTCTCTCTTCTTCTAATAAGTCAAGCTCTACCTTCATATTTTCTGAATTATCCTTTTCCTGAAAATAAACTCGTCTGCATGAGGGTTCTCCAATTTCTACTGGAATCATTGCATCATTCCCGAAAGTGAGCCTGAAAGGTGTTTATTTCGTTGAAAATTGTGGAGTGCATCTGTATGCCTATAAGATTTTAGGTAGCTGCTCCACCCATGCTCCTTTTGTTGATCCTAGCCTCTTTTTCAATTCTGATAGTATGACTTTGTTAGCTGATTTTGCTTGCCCGTTTGACTGAGGGTGTTCCACCGAGATAGTTTTATGCTTGATATGTAAGTTCTCTAGGAACTCATTGAATCTTTTGTCAGTAAATTGAAGCCCATTATCGGTGATTATAGCGTAAGGTATTCCAAATTGGGTTATGATATTTTTCCATGTGAACTTCTGAATGTTTGATGCTGATATGGTTGCTAGTGGTTCTGCCTCTATCCACTTTGTAAATAAATCAACGGCTGCTACGAGGGTGGCCGAACCAGGTGGCCGAATGGCCTTACTAGTACAATATCTATAGTCCAAAGAAGAAAATTAAGTTTTATGTTATGTTTTTTTTTTATAAAAATTAATTAGTACTCTAATTTAAAATAAATCATAACTGAATTTTTTATTTTTCACAATTCTTGTAATTAATCTTTTAATTTTTTAAACATTTTTTTACAAAGTTTACTACAATTTTAAATCACAATAAAAGTTAGATAAAAACATATTTTTCATCCATTATATTATTTATTAGTGTCAATTTAGTCTTATATTAATTATTTGAATCAATTTAGTCCTACATTTTAAAAATATATTTTAATATTTAATTTTTTGTCGTACTGTCATGTGTCATGCTATCATATGTGTTATGTTATTAAGATACATTTTAGAGATGTGAAATTAAATTGATTCAATTAATTAAAATAAAACTAAATTAAATCTAATAAATAATATAAGGGGCAAAAAACATATTTAAACTTAAAAAAAAATATTTTGTATTAAATTACAGTTTTATTAATTTCATGTACTCAATTAAAAAATAATAATTATAACATTTTTTTAATAATCGTATACAATTATTCAATTTTCTAGTTTAGATCGTAGAGAATTAATTAAACCAATATATTTATATTTATATCTATACTTGTTATAAAAAATATATTTTGATAATATTTTTTTTGATTTTTATTTTTTAGTAGACTAATATATTATATTTCTTAAATATAAACAAAAAAAATCTTCTAACTCTTGAATATAAAAAAAACTTTTTATGTCCTCTCTTAATAATTATATACAACTTCTATTTATCTGAACGTAATTATTTAAGAAACTTCTAATATTTATTGGTGTTTAACTGTTGAGATACAAAATACATTCATCCACTAATTTATTATAAAATCAATAGATATATAATCGTTTTTGACTTTATTTTTTATTCATATGTAAAAAAGTAAAATTATATCCATTAAATCGACGCAATATTCTAATATTGTAAGATGGTATAACTCTCATCCTCTGGTCAAGTTAAAGTAAATAAGACAACAGTTGTTCTTGCGCATCCGATTGAGGATTTTGGCGCAGGCGGGCAACTGCTATCCTCGCAGTGGCGGTTTCGAATAATCTGATCACAACAGAATTAAAATGGGGAACGAAGAAACTACGTGGAAACGCTGAACTAGACTTGACGTGGAGAGTGTGTATGTGCACTGCAATGAGCGTCATGCGGCACCTTTCAGTTTCCCACCTCATTCACCAGACATGATTCCGAAGACTCCGTTACGGCACCTGTTATTCGCGTTAGGGTTTCTGCTTTGCACCACAATCCCCTCCGTTCGCGGCGAATCGTCAACGTGCTTGACGGTCTACAACAACGGCGGTGCTCCGGCAGTGTTCCAATCCCCAAAATGCCCCCGCTGGAAGCTCTCCGATTACGATTCCCCTCCCCAAACAACCGCGCGTTGCCAGACCTCCATGCTCCAGGGTCGCAGAAGCTCACAAGAGGATCGCGCTCTCTGCGTTCTCGATCTTCACATTCCCTTCCCTGGTATGCTATCCAAAATTCTTTCTCTCTGGTTTGTGTTCCAGAAGCTTCGTCATTCGTTGTAATTTTTTGTGTTTGATGCTTGCTGGAACAGGTGCGAACGGGATCAAGGATGTTGCGGTCGGGATTATGGCCGTTTTCGACGGTCATAACGGCGCAGAAGCTAGTGAGATGGCGTCGAAGCTCTTGGTGGAGTATTTCGTTCTGCATACTTATTTTCTTCTCGATGCCGCCTTTTCTGTTATTTCAAAGACGTCGACGGAATCATTGCTTCACAAGAGTGGCCGTGATCATGTAAACCTGCTGCTTAGATGGAAAGAGACTCTAGGTTGGGAATGGCATGAACTGCATTTTGAAAGGTGCTTTATATCTATACTTTTACCTTTTCCTTATATGATTATATCAACATTGCAAGTAATTAATAACTGAAAGTTGCCGTTGTATCTATAATATTAGTGATTTAATTTAGAATGTAAGGTGAAATGTTGATGCATTCTTGTTGTTATGCTTTGCTCACTTCTCTTTTGATTAAAAAAGGGTTGGTTTTATGCAGAACGGTGAATGTCAAGGTGAAATGTTGATGCATTCTTGTTGTGAACTTAGAGGAACTTTTGTCAATTAGAAATGCATAATTTATGTTAGGCTCATAGCAGTATTCTTGTGGATAATTCTGAATGTCTAATTTAGTCACCAGTCAGAAGTCACTACTAACGTTTGGTTTGGCTTTAGAGTTGTTTCCTTGGTTTCCAAGTGAACTAAGTGCTCCTAATAGCATTTAAAATTTTACATACCTTTTGTTTGTCTCGTTTGTATGCCTATCTCAACTGGAGATAATTTTCCAGGTTTCAGAATACATTTTCTCCAAATTTTGATGATTCTTTTCACTTGGAAATTTTGAAGGAAGCATTGTTGAGAGCAGTCCATGACATTGATGCTAAATTTTCTGAGGTAAGTTTGCCTTTGTGTTCAGTATTACAAAACTTCATACGATACTTTTTTGTACTTCTTCTTGTGTTGACATCTTGTAATTGAACAATGAAGGAAGCTTCTAGAAATAATCTTCGCTCTGGATCTACAGCAACCATAGTTTTGGTAGCAGATGATAAAATTTTGGTTGCCAATATTGGAGACTCTAAGGCCATCTTGTGCTCTGAAAATTTTCAGTCTCCTAGAGAGGCTAAAGGTGAGAAAGATTATGAAATGTAATTATACTTTCAATTTTTAAGATACAAGTTTATAATGGTATAATTAAAATATTATGTATTTTTCTGTTGCTCTTTTGTTTTGTCTAAATATGATGGTTGGTTATGACAGGGCAACAAGCTTATTTTCATTTTGAGGAAACATGACTAAAATGTTTTTAATTTTAGTTCCTTTTGATTTGTAGACTCATTATTAAAGATATATAGGCAGAAAGAGCATGATGGTTCTGTTTCTGTGTGGGATCGTGAAAAGTACAGATTGGCTTCCTCCCATGGTCTCACTCATTTTGCAGTGAAGGAATTGACCAGTGATCATCATCCAGACAGAGATGATGAACGAATTCGGGTGGAAACAGCTGGTGGTCAAGTTCAAAATTGGGGTGGTGTCCCTCGCATAAATGGTCAGCTGGCTATTACACGGGCTATTGGTGATGTACCATTTAAAAGGTGGGTGCAGTGCAAATTCTTTTCATAAAGCCCAAGCTTATAGCTAAAGCATGTGTATATTTACTGCAGCAGTCTCTTATCTCATGTGCAAATGATTTTGGGTTGATGTTTCATAGTTGTTCCCAAGCTTAGGTAAAGGAAGAGGGTCGTGTTAGCAGGCCCTTGACTGGCAACATAAAACTTGTTGAAACTGTAAACATAGTTCATATTGTGGATGTTAATTTAAACCAGCTCCATTTCTTGCATTAATATTGAATTTCAGCAAAGTAGGGGTGGGGCTGTCCTCTTTATAGGCTTCAAGCTCAAAGTTCTTGTGTGAGGGCTAACTACTTAAGATTTCAGGATGGCTGGTTTCTTCATAATCTAAAAATTTAAGTTGAAATACTAATGCATTTCTCACAATGAATGGTCAACAGTTATGGTGTTATATCTGCACCGGAAGTGACTGATTGGCAGCCTCTGACTGCTAATGATAGCTATTTGGTGGTTGCATCTGATGGTGTATTTGAGAAGATGAGCGTGCAGGATGTCTGTGATTTGTTGTGGGAAGTACACCGTTTCAGTAACATGAGATCAGAGTGTACCCCTTCATCTTCCTATTCATTGGCAGATTTAATTGTTAATACTGCCTTCAAAAAGGGCAGTATGGACAACGTGGCAGCAGTTGTCATTCCTCTGGAGTCTGCCAAATCTTCTACAAACACGCTCAGGAGAAGCTATAACGGAAAGAGGGATGCCAGTGTCCAATCATTTGGTCTGCAGGAAATTGCATCCGGAAGCTCAGGTATATTTTGTGGGTTTGATGTATTGTTTGGATGAGTGAAGTTGGAAGGAAAACTACATTTTCCACCATTTTGTTGAGGAGAAAATTGGAAATGAAAGGGAAAAAAATATGGGGCATGCATAAAATATTTTTTTTGTTAAATTGACAAATTTAACCATAACCTTTATACTATTACCTCTGGTCCTAATTATAAGTTGCAAATTAGATTTTTCTTTAGTTCTAATTATAAGCAACAATTAATAGTTTTTAAAATTACTCAAGTATAAGTTTCTTTAATACCCTTGATTTATTGTTAATTATATTTCCAATGCATTCACTTATAATTAACAATAAATATAATAATTGCTTAATGCAAATGGTATTTTTGGAATAACATTTGAATTTATGATAGAATTAATTAAAAATAACTAACTTAATTACTTTGTTAATCTTGATGATTTGTCTTATGTTGCTTATATTCAGGACTGCAAGAAGTATAATAAAAGGATATGGAAGTATTTAACATAGTTACATTTTCTTTACTTTTACTTCTCTTCCCAACAAAACAAGAAGAAAGAAAGGTCCAGTTCACTTTTGTTGCACTTGCCTTTTTGGCAGTTTTTGAAACCTATGATTTCTTCCTCTCATGTTTTGAATATTACAGTGGCCTCCCCTATCTTGACTTTTTATCTCGAAAAAATATCCTATGTTTTAATTTTTTCATATGCCTTCTCGCCTCCTCACAACTTCTGTACAACTTCTCTTGAATGAATTTTTAAATTTCACAAAGGCTTAATTACACTTTTGATCCTCCTAATTTAGTGTAGGAGCAATTTTGGTCCTCATAATTTGAATTGCTTAATTTTGGTCCATAAATTCAAATAATGGGCAATTTTAGTCCCATAAACAACTTACCATCCAAAATTTAACAGACATTAATGATATGAATTTTATGCTAAATAAACATTAATTATATATTATTTAATTTCTTACGTGTCAAATTATTTAATATTCAAATTTTAAAAATTTTAAATTCATTTATTTTATATTTCTCTTTCTTATGTGTTAATGTTGCAACTAGAACGGCCCATTCTCCAAGCAGAACAGGCCGTTCTGCTTGCATGCGTAGTCTGTTAATTTTGAAACTGGAACGTCCAAGCAAAACGGTTCGTTTTGATCCATCGTCATGTGTGTATTTTTACATCCGGAACGACCCGTTCTAAAATGAGAACAGGCCGTTTTGCAAGTGCTGCAAGGAGAACGGGCCGTTCTGAAAGGAGACTGGGCCGTTCTGGATCCAGTTTTACACCATGCTCAGATCCAAAACGCAAAAAGAAAAAAAAATTAACAGCTCATTATTCGATTCCCCGGGAACCGAATTCTGAACGTGAACAGTGAAAGGTGCTACTTGGGTAAATAAATTGGTACAGGTGCTTTTTTGGTAAATTTTTTTAAAAAAAATTCTATTTTAGTGAAAAATTCTCACTGCGATTGATATCAATACTTTTTTCATTTTGTTTTCAATGTTATTTGAATTTAAAATTTGAATATTAAATAATTTGACACGTAAAAATTAAATGATATATAATTAATGTTTATTTAGCATAAAATTCACATTATTAACGTCTGTTAAATTTTGGATGGTAAATTGTTTGTGGGACTAAAATTGCCCATTATTTAAATTTATAGACCAAAATTAAGCAATTCAAATTATGAGGACCAAAATTACTCCTGCACTAAATTAGGAGGACCAAAAGTGCAATTAAGCCTTTCACAAACTATAGGAGAGGTTAGTTTTTTATTTTTCAAACAGAAGAAATTTATTGAGACAGAAATTACAAAGAGCATGGAGGATTAGGAATCCTCCTAAAAGAAAAAGCAAAAAACAACTAAGAAGAGGAAATTAAATGTAAGTATGTAACAACGTGTCCTAATCTCTAAGCATAACTTGATGAAACCTAGTTAGAAAAATCATGAGTCTTGTTCTATTAAGTATGAGAACAACAACAAAGCCTTATATCACTAGGCGAGGTTCACTACATATCACAAAATATCACTGACCTCGGTTAAAGACTAATTCCTCTAAGATATTTTTCACCATAAGATCTCTCTTAAATTTCTCCAGTGTCCTTCTTGGTCTCCTTCTCTCCCTTTTCACAAGATTAAAAACCATGCAATTTACTCTGTCACTGATGCTTGCGGTGACCTTTGCACATGTCCAAACCACCTGAATCAATTTTTTGTTGCCTATTCCTCAATTAATGCCACACCAATATCTCCTCTTGTATACAATCATTTCATATAACGTCCCTTCTTATGTGGTCACTCATCCTTCCTGGTATTCTTGTTTCTGTAACTCTCACCTTTTTCTCTTTTTGTCACTTTAAAGCCCAACATTTACTACCATAGAGTATAGTTGAACATATAACAATACAAAAAAACTTCCCTTTGAGCTTGGTTTGTACCTTGTGATCTCAAGTAACCTCTAACGTCTTTCTCCATTTTAAACATCTCACTTGTATATTGTGTGACATTCTCGTTAATTTTTCCATCATTTTGTAATATGATCCCAAATATTTAAATTTAAAAACTTGTGTTATGACATCTTCTCCCACTATTACATCCAAGTCATATTTTCTCTTGCCTCTTGCTAAAATTGCAATGCATATATTTTGTCTTACTCATACGTAACTAGCTCAAGAAAAACCTTTGTTTCCAAGGTCTGTCTTCAAATAAAAATTTTGACCTTAGATGGAGCTTTGCACTTCCAAGAGGGTTTCTCAAGAAGAAAAGTATCCTTATACACAGAATGAGTGAGGAATGGAACTCAAAAGGTTAAAAATGAAAATGCCCTAGCTAGAAGGGTCAAAGGACAAAATCCTTTTATCTGGGCAAGAAGATCAAGTGAATAGAGTCGAGGAGGCCCAAAAGGGACTTCATTTTAGAAAATTCTGTCATTTAAATTATGAATCTTGGATGCTAAAATTGTGGATAGGAATTATGCAGAGAAGAAAAACAATAAAGGCATGGAAAGACAATAAAATTGATATTTTTGTGAGAAGTTATGTGATTTTAATTGTTATTTGACTGAAATATGTATTATTACATGGTTTAAAACTCATCAGTTTATATTTTTGTAGTTGCTAATCACTTCTATTAAGTTTTCTTTATTATATTTAAGTGCTGACCACTAAAAAGCAATTTTTTATTTGGTGTTATTTGTATGTCTGCCACTGTTCTTTTGGTTATTTTTTATTTGTGTATTTGTTAATGATGCTTATGGGCTAATTTTTTATCTTGGAACTTGCTCAGTTAATGACTTTGCTTCTGATCTTATGCAATTGGATCACCCTCATCTGGTAGATACCAAGCTTAAGCGAATATTGGTAATGGCCAAAAACCATGGAAATTTATTATTGTCAATTTCTTCGATATTTTTTTTTCTGTCTCTTAAATTCAATGTGCTGATGGAATTAATGAACTATGGATACTTCTAAACAGACTAATAGCATTTTCTCAATTTATAAGATTATTGTGATGTGTGCTGAAGTCAGAAGATTATTAGGCTGTGTTTCTTAAAATGTGTGATTGACTCAGTTGTGGAGCTGCGCTTTTGACATTGTTTTTGTTGAAGGATGAGGAAACTTGGTGTTATAGAAGATGCCTTGGGAATGTTTGTTAGTTTTGAATTGAATGAAGATGACCAACTTGCTTTACTGGATTACTTGGAATTTCAGCCATAATTTTTTTTGAGGGAATCAAATTGTTTATCCTCTTTCCTAGTCATTGATCTGTTTCCCCAGATCCCAATCCAATAGAGCAAACCAATAGGAAAAATTATGAAAAAAGGGGGGTAGTACTTTTTTGGTTAATTGACTCTATTTTGTTTGGAGTAAAGGGAATATAAGATTTGTGCCCTTCTATTCTATGAGACTAGAGAATTAAGAATTTTTTTTTTGCACATATTGAGTTTATCAATTTCTCACTCTCTTGAAGGTCAGATTTTTTTAATTTTTTATTTATTTTATTATTATTATTATCACATACACACTCACAAGGCTGATTTATAAGCATTTCTGGCTGATTCTTGTTATATACATTACCAAAAAAATTGTTATGCATTTTATATTCCATCCTTAGAATTGAGATACATGTGTAAACTAAATTTTCATTTTTGGGGATTTGGCTTCTGTATATGTGTCATCAATAGTAAATTTCATCCTTGGTATATTTTTTGTGTATCTTAATAAATAATCACTTCACTTTACAACAGAGATCCCTCTGGTCAAAATCAATCTTAATGAATGAATGCCTTTGGATTCATTTTATGATAGGTTGAAGTAAAAGATGGAGATTTTGGATGTTTTTATTTATCTGAAAATCTTGATGAACCAGAAGCCTCCAAGCAGATTGCCAAAAAAACTGACTGGGAAGACTATTTGTATGAACTACCTCAGCCTCTACCAGATGTCCATCAACAAATCAGTAAGCAAATATGTCTATTATCTAATTACGTAGTCTTGGTACATTAAGGGGTTGTTCTTAATTTATTGCTGTTATGTTGCATTTGTTTAGTTGAATTTTTGTTTATCTGTTGGCAATCAAATACTGTGGTTGATTCCTTTTCAGCTTCAGGTGGTCATGTAAATTTATACAATAACCAAAACTTTTGCTTTCACCTTGGTCCAACTGTTAATGAAGCTGAAGACCAGTGCATAAATCCTGAAGGCTTTGCCAGTTTCATTGGTCTTCTTGAATCAATTCCTTTGCATGATACTGGCTCCAGTAATGGGTCTTCTGATTATTCAATGCCTGATTTAAGGTAAATTTATCTGCTTTGAATTCCTATACATTCATTAGTCTAGAGGCCAATATAGTTCCTAGTAAAATATAGGAGGGTTAATATCTTGCGGAAAAGTCACTTTTTAGGTTCATACAATTTTAAGATTTCCTTGGCTTTGATCTTATATGGATGGTCAGCACTATCATGATTGCCATTATGTTTCATTTTAGTGTATTTTTTGAATTTGATGCTTGAAAATGTTTTTCTTTCGCTCAGCAATTAAGCCAATATGCATTTTGTGTATAGGTATGTGTTGAAGAAGAGTTTTGGACGTGGATCATATGGTGAAGTATGGTTGGCTTTTCATTGGAATTGTAATCAGGATAGTAATTCTTCAAAAATGAGCAAGGATGACAAAAATACAACCAGTAGCTCAACTGCTTCTGATTGTCAGGATGGTCCTTCTAACTACACCCTGTACATTTTGAAACGTATAATGGTATTATATTTGAGTGATGTAGAACTGCTTTTAATGGTTTCAGTGCATTAGGATCTCTTTAAGTGTGTAAAATCCAAATGCATTATGCATTGTGAGACAGGAGTTTAGTGCCTATTTTTTTAGTCGTGCATCAACATAATTAACATGCAATAAGTTTGCTGCCTTACTTATTTATACGAAGTATGCTCCCCCAGTTCTTATTCTTTATATATTTCTGGAAGATGGATAGACATTTTCTAGAAATTGAATCGCTGTGTCGTTGTGTTGATTACTTTGCCTGAAAGGAAGCTTCTTGTTTTATTTGTTTAATTAGTTTGTTGATTTTTCCTCTTCAGCCTTTGCTGTATGCTTTGGATCTTGGTGTAGCTCAGTCCTGCATTTCTTTGATATTATTTTTGCGGTGCTCTTTTTTCTTAGTAAATATAATACAAACTAGATGTGTTATTTTATATAGCTATCACCAAAAAATAAAAAACCAAACCTTTTATAGTAATTAATTTCAGTAATTGTAATCTGAATAAATTTGAAAGCCTGAAATTATAATAAAATATTTTTTTATATATAATTTGTGTGATTGATTATCGAGTCATTTAGGCTCTATTTTACTTTGTCCTCCCATTAAAACACATCTAATGCTCCATCCATTGGTTTTCCCTCCTTTCCCACTTCTCTATATCACAACTTGTCTATTATTCATTGGGGGTGAGCAGGATCCAGCTGGGCCCGAGCTTGATTTGGACAAGATCTGGTTTTGAAATCAGATCCAATGCATTTTTTAAGATGAGTTTGAGTTATACTTCGGGTCTTCCTAATTTGGTTTTATGACCTGAATTCTTTAAAAAAGTATATTTTTTTGTGTATTAATAATAAAACTTTTTATTTAATAGATAATATTTTGTATAATATGATATTATACTTATAATGATACTTATTAAAATATGTATTATACAATATGCTTTTATTCTACAATATAACTATACCAAGGTTTTCAGTAAGGTTGTACGGCGGATGGCGGCAAAGGCCTTTAAGTGCCATACTGCCATGGCGGTCTATGGCGGACCAATATATATATATATATATATATATAATATGATGCAAAAACAGAAAAATAACAAATACATATATTAAAACAAAAAATATAACAATTTAAAATTCATGGCATTCATAATCTAGTGATAGTCATCATAAAAAGACATAAATTCCAACCAACAAAGGATTAAATAGTCATCAAAACAAAGAAACAATGTTAAAGAACAACAAAACATAATGACAAGTCCTAAAACTATTTTGTTTAATCCTCCTTATCATCATCAATGTCTGCATAATTATTTTTCACATGATGATGTTGCTCATTTAAAAATCCTTCAACTTCTTCTCCATCTGAATGTATGAAATTAGCATTTGGAGGTGGTGGTGGTCGCGTCAGAGGCAACGGCGGCAGAACTTGTCGGAGGAGGCGTGCAATTGACGTTGCACGGAGGAGACCAAGTTTTAGGGTTTTAGTAGCAGTAGGGCGAATCACACGGAGGGAGAAGGAGCAGAATCGCGTGCAGACAGTGGTGGTCGAGTTGGAGGCATGTGGTTGATGTTGCATGGAGGAAACCAAGTTTCAGATGTTTAAGGTTGTTTGCCGCGAACCAAAAGAGGTGAGGAAAATGGAAAACTCGGGTTGACTCGAGCCCAAACCCGGAAAAAAATGGAAAAAAAAGCCGAAAATGGGCGCCATGACCGCTGTAAACCGCCACGCCGTTAGTGCCATAACGGCCGCCATATGCAAAATGGCGGACCCGTGCCATACAGAGGCCAAACGGCCATAACGGAACGTGGCAACGGCCGCCATACCGTTATGGCGCCACCATAACCGCCATTTAACAACACTGAACTATACACAAAATTAATAAGATATATTATGTTAAAAAGTTAGGTTAATCCAGTCTCGTCCCATATATTTCAGTATTGATGGGTTGGTTTTGAGTTTAAATATATGATCCGATCAATTTTTCAGGCTGAGTAAGGACAAAATTAAATCTATCTAACCTGTTCCTTGCTCACCCCTAATTATTCATATTGGAGCTTGTCTCATATTCCCTCCATTGAACTTGTGTCCTTTCTCACCTGTCTCTTTAACTTATCCCCTTCTTGTCTCATGAATGCCTTATTGTCAACAGAAATTTTCAAATACTTGTTGTTTTTGGCCTCTTTTTTTAAGCCATTTGTGCTCTGACAATAGTCTGTAAGCATGTAGCAGAAATAAATCTTAAATGCACTAAACAGGTAGAGAAGGGGTCTGCTGTTTACTTAAGTGGGCTGAGGGAGAAATACTTTGGAGAAATTTTCTTAAATGCCTCTACATTCTTTGAAGATCCACTATCAGCTGGAAAATCAAACCGTGTCTTGGAAACATCACAATTTGGTCCTGAGAATTCATTTCCAAACAAATTTCGGCTACAAAGAACCACATATGAAGATGGTTTGAACCATATTGCGAGATATGTGGAGTCTTTTGAGTCTCAAGCCAATGAAATATGGCTTGTATTTAGTTATGAAGGTGTATCATTGTCAAAACTTCTATATGCTGTGGAAGATTCATATGGTACTGCCGAGAAAGAAAGACTTGAGCAAGGTAAACATGTTCAGATACTACGTCCATCAAAGTGGTGGCATTGGTTGAAAACAACAGAAGAAGGGCAAGCGGAAATGCGCAACCTTATCTGGCAGCTGGTATGTCTTTAATGTAGGTTCTGTGGTGTATTGCTCTATTAGCCTTTATGGTTCCCTGATATTTAAAATATACTTTTAAATCTATGCGATACGAGATACTGCATTTTCCCCTAGCAAAAGTAGAAATAAATCACTTTTCCCTTGGTATACAGCTTTTTCTTATCCTGATATATCCATCATTTTTCTCTCTTTGTTTGTGCTGTATTATAAACCTTTGCATGTGTTCTAGGGTGAATAGTTTGTGGTTAATATTGGGAATGGGTTAGCAAGCAAATAGGTTTTGTTAAGAAGCATAAACTTTTCAATTTGTCCCATTTTTCCTTATAATTTCTCAGTCTCAAGCCCTGATCATATTTTTCCCATTATTCAAGTATATTAAATTGTAAGAGTTTTGGAGGTTCAGCATTTGAATACCTTCATTTTCACTTATGTTACATAAATTCCATTGATGTTGTCAACACCAAAAAGGGAAAGAAAAAATTTCTCTGGATGTGGCCATATTGAATTTCCCTGAATTTATTCTAAACTTTACCTTGTACTATCTGTTCTTGACAAATCATCTTTTTTTCTTTTTTTTTTTTAATCTGCTCAGTTATTAGCTCTCAAGTCCTGTCATGATCGCAACATCACACATAGAGATATTAAACCTGGTAAGACATGGGTAATTTGTTATGCATGAGTGATGTATACCTATCTGGACTTCTAGATGAACATAATGTTTTTCAAAATCAATAGGACATCAGTTAGTTGGTACTTTTGAATTTCAAGTCATTAATTTTCTGGAAATTAGTATAAATGTTAAGTGATTTGTGTTTGTTTGGTTTTTAGCTGTTTTTTTTTATGTAAACCCCCTGCTACTTTTCTGTATAATAATTTTATGCGATTTGGGTTTCTATATTTACTCCAAAAAAGTTAACCTGTCTCATGTTTAATGTCTACTTGTCTAATTGTTAAAACACTATACTTATGTTGTCCCTTTATCCATAGTTCATGACATGATTGCCATCTTCAATTCTTTGATGTACATGTGGTTGGTTTCATTTATTTTATAATGCAATGATCAATTTTGTTTATTAGTAAAAAATTAACTGACTTGGTGTATTTTATTTTTGAAGAGAATATGGTGATATGCTTTGAAGATCAGGAGACAGGGAGATGCTTGAAAGAGATTCCCACTAAAGTTAATAATTTTTCCACCAAAATGTACAGTAAAGTATCTTAGGTTTATTTTAGTACCCTGCTTTTTGATTTAAATTTTTTTAGAATAAAAAAATTGATTGGAAGCATTTTAATCTTCTATATTATATATTTACACCACTAGTTATTTCTATTTATAATATGATTAGTTCAATTGTGGTTTATTCATATTTTGCTCAAGCTTTGTGTATTTAGTTTTAATATCATCTTATAGAATGATCAGAATCTTATGACCTTTACTTGATCTTTTTTTTTTTTTTTTTTTTTCTATCATAGTTTTAATGCAGTTAAAAGGATTCTTGCCTACAGAACTTTGCTTCTTAAAATTGATTGAGGAACAATTCATCTTTTTCCTTCTCCCCCAACCTGCTAATTTACAGTTAGTTGGACAGAGGTGGTATATCACACACACACACACACACTCATTTATAAATCCAATAATTTATTGTAATGATCCTCTAAGAATTGTTGTCTCCCTGTGTATGGAACAATTAAATCTTTTTCCATATCTTTCTGACCATTGTTCTGCTCAATTAAGTTCTCTGCAATTTCAATGCCCATTTTCTGTTTCTGTTCCAAACAAGTAAGCTATATAAGGTGACTGATGTTTCAGAAAAGATAAAAATGGATATTTAGGGCCCCATTTTGATATGCAAGAAAAATCATTCACTGTGATAATTTATTATTCACTTCTTTAGATAATAATTGCATGCATTATGTGCTTTTGTTCATGGCTGCCTATTATTTATTTATTCAGAGCGGACTACTATCAGTTATGTATCAGTCTCTGTGCCTTTTAGTAATGATGTCTCTCAGCACAAAAAGAATAGCAAAACTTGTTTGGTTCTGTAAATTCAGCCATGTGATATGATGCATGGGAAATTTTAAATTAATCCCACATTACCCTTTAGGATCTATGTTTGGTTATATCCTGCTTGCACTAGGAACAATCTCTCTCAAATCTATTATTTAACTGATGACCATCGATTTGAGTCTTTGACAATGATAGCAAGAAAACTGGGTTATTGCTTTCCTTAAAGCTTGAGTTGTCTATCCAACTATTTGTGTCTCTCTACTTGTGTGTACACAATTTACTGGTGTTGTATAGTGAATTTGGTGCCCTTTGCTGTTTCTTTTAGGCGTATTATTGACTTTGGAAGTGGAATTGATGAATTCACATTAAAGCATTTATATGGTTCCACTGGGCCTTCTAGGTATCTCAGCAGCTCTTTATAGTTTATACACATTGATTATTTACTTGTGATTATTGTGGTAAAAATATGCTATGTTTCTTCAGAGCTGAACAAACCTATGAGTATACGCCTCCTGAAGCTTTGCTAAATGCTACATGGTATCAAGGGCCAACAAGCTCCACAATGAAGTATGTGGTGTTTTACATGAAGTTAGAGTTTTGTTTTCATTTTTGTCCTTTTTAAGATGTTGCTTGATATTTCTTTGGATTTAGACTCAATGACCTGCAAGTGTTGAAGCAATCTTTCTGCTTTGACAGATATGACATGTGGAGCGTTGGTGTTGTGATGCTAGAGTTGGTCTTAGGGACACCAAATGTTTTCCAGATAAATGCTTTAACACGTGCTCTTTTAGACAAACAACTAGAAGGATGGAATGAGGGCGTGAAAGAGCTGGCATACAAGTAAGCATTTTTTTAGAAGGGTTTAATCATAATCTTGTTTAATAACATGAATTTTAGATGTCCCTATGATAATCTCTCTCTCTCTCTAAGCAAGAAAGGCAACCAAAAGTTTGTTTATGGGTTGTGACAATTCAAAAGGAATGCATCCTTTTGGTGCTCTTTTTTCTTCTTTTTTTTTTCCCCCCTTTTTTTCTGGAGATGCCTTGTTCTGTCTTTCACCAAATTGGTTGTTGGCTGTTTGATGAGAACTAAGATCCAAGTTAGTTCCATTAATGGATTGGAGGTAGTTAATGATTAGGAATTTAGGAGTATAAGCGTGATAGAAATTAACAACTGGCAGTTATGTATTAGGATTTAGGAGTATATATCAGATAGCAAATCTATTAGAAAATGGTTCTGTATTAGAAATTGCATGATGGCAGTTATGCATGGAAAATAACTGCTGGTAGTTATGTATTATGATATCTAATAATAGGCTATGTATTTAGGAAGTGTGAAGTTATTTGTAGTTTGTGGACAGAGAATACTCTGTTGGAGACTTCTGTCCCTGGGATTGCAAGGCTAAAGCTGTATTTTGTGTGCATTCAGTGTCAAATATTATATTTTATTACTTTCTCATTTGGTGTTTCGCCACTGTTTTTATTTGTAAACTCAAAACAGTGAATTAGTAACTCAGCTCAATGCTAGACTGTTCTATTTTATTGTTTTATAACATTTGGCTGAAGTTTTTCTACGCAAGTACAAGTTCTTTATTGAATTGGAATTGTCTCAAGATTTATTAGAATGGCTGACAGTCTTGCTATTATTGAAGGATGTGTGTTCCTTTGTGGATTATCTTGGCACACCAAATTCAGTTTTCTGCTTTAGTTTGAAGTCAGGAAATTTTCATTCATTTCAACTTTTTTAGGCTGTGCTTGCTCTTTAGTCTTTATCATTTTCCTATATCAAGGAAGCAGGAGAGAATAGATGCTTTGAAAATTGAAAGCTAGGGGCATCTGGGATGGTGATTGTCATTTCTCTGTTGTAAGATTGCATTTTCATTAGTTTATTATATTAGGTATTAATTATTGGAAACCTCCCAGGCATTTTCTCTGCTACAATCCATACATTTTATAGATTTGACTTTTAACAACTAAATTTTTACCGTCTCCTTCAAGACTGGTATGTGCAAGCAGTTAGGCACCTAAACATTTTAATCTACGTCATGCATTCCAGTTCCAAATATAGTTAATGGTTTAATTCTAGAACTGTTGTTTTTGTTCTGAAGACAGGGAATTAAATGTCTGGTAATTCTTTGGGACTTCTGTACTCTATAATTCTAACTATTATTTTATTAATGTGGTGACAGACTTAGAGCATTCATGGAATTGTGCATTTTGATCCCTGGGATCTCCCGGTCCAGCAGTTCATCAAAAGTCAACCAAGTAAGTTTACCATCTGAACAGTTTTAATCTTTGGTTCTTGACCTGCCAAATGCTAATTATGTCGTTTTCAAACTTTTTCGTGTGTTAATACATATTGTTGATTAACTTTTTTTTCAATGGAAAATCTTTTGCAATTTATAATAAATACATTGGTTTTATTGACTCTTCTCGACTGAGCTAATTTTCATCATAGACAAGCAGAAAAGATTATCTCCATCTGTATAACTAGGATGCTTAATCCTAGTGCAGAAAATAATAGACAGGAGGGTAGAAATGAATTTAGGAAGATAAGTAAGAGATTGTAGTGGAATTTTATAAGAGGGTTTCCAGGGATTAGAAACTTCTCAGATCTGGAATTTTATAATACAGCCAAGCATGGTGAGCAAAACCTGAGTGTTAACTCAGAAACTTCTGAGTTAATGAGTTTGGGAAGCCCAACCTGTTCGACTCATGTGCAAACTTGTTTTCCACTAAGCTTGTGCGAACTCGAGGAAACTCGCACAAACTCCACCAAAATTGTGAGTTTCCTGTAATTTTGTCTTTCTACGAAGGTCACTTAAAAAATCCCCAAAACAATACGGAGACCTGTGTTTTGATTTAGGTTTCCTTTTCTTCCCATGATTCACATGTTTCTGTGGAGTCTCACCTGCTGAATGCAAACCCAAAACTCGCGTGCTGAGATCTGTTCGACAATGTTGGGGCTTGCTTGCCGCTAGTTTGTTTGTCGGCATCCCCTGTTCTCTGGTCAGGGTGGCATTCTCTGTGTCTGGCTCGTCACTGATTGGCATCTCTGTTCTCCAGTCGGCGTTCCCTGTTCCGGGTTTGTAGCTGTCATGGCATGTTTCCAGTGTTCTTTCCCATTTCCTGTTTGTGTATTCTCCTCTCTTCTTCCTGTTCCATTTTTTTTTATTCAGTCCAAAAATACTCTTATACTACAATAATTAATATTTGTTAGAAATCATGTTTGGGACCGAATCAAATTCGTCCGGTATTGCAGTTGCCACCTCTGTTGCTAAATTAGACATGGAGATTTGAAGATATTAGTCTTTTTTTAGTTTTTTATTTGGTATCATTTTTAGAACTTGTGTCTTGTTTGCATGATTTGCTACTCAACTTTACTACTTTATTATTGTAATTTACTATTTTACTTTAATATGGAGTTGAAATGTTGAGTTTTTATGTTATTTAAAAGTATTTTAATATATTTTTTTGTATTAAGTTTTACGTAAACTCTCAATTTTGACAACCTTGTCGCCAAGAGATGGCTGAATACAAATCCCTTGGATTATTTAATGTTATTAACATTCTTAACAAAATTGGTTTAAACCTAACTCAACCTTACAAAACCAACTTATAAGGTGAGATTGCCTCCACTTGTATATTCTATTTTGGTTGTACCATTATTCAATGTGGGATTTTCAAACACACTTCTTTCACGTTGAAGACCAAGCATTTTAAATGTGAAGTTTGTAGAACTCAGCATCTGCAGATGATTTAATAGGCTTATTAACAATTATTAGGATAGACTCTGATACTATCTTGAGAAATTGGGTTTGAACCTAATTCTCAATCTTACAAAATCGATTTATAAGTTGAGGATTGCTTCTACTTGTATTATCTATTTTGGCTATACTATTAGTTGATGTGGAAATCCAACAAACATATTACCATGCCCCAGACCAAGCCCAATTTTTCAAAGCTCAAACTTCTAGGCCTCACTTATTTAAGAATTTTATTACATTGAAAACACATCAAAATCAAACAAGCTAAAGCCAATAACATAAAAAGAGAGCAGAGGAGGTCCGTCCTACATCAAAAGATTCAAATCATTTCTTCTACAAAAGAAAATCACTTATACTTCATTTAGTGGTATATGTTTTTGTGTCTACATAAGGCTGACAACAATGCAGGACCTTACCATAAATAGCTTTGTACAACTTCAAGTAGCTATTTTCCTTGTGCAGTTTTAGGAATATCAAAAGCTGACATATATAACCAAGGGAACATTTCAGTTCACTTCCTTTGATGAGAAATAGCTATCATGTATGATTCTATAGTATCCTAAAGTAGTTTACAGGAGCCAACATTAAACATTGATGTTTATATTTTCATTTAAAATAAAATTATTTTGGTTGGGCATATATTTCATTTAAACAGCTTGGTGGCGCTGCTGTTATATACATCTTTGTTTATGTGATCATCGCCAAGGTATGGGACATGAGTCCCACATTGTAAGTATGGGATTCTAGTGTGGGGTTTATAGCCCTTGGGCTCTACAATTACAATAGCTAGCTTTTATGGTCTCTCCATGTTCTTATCAATTGTTATCAAAGCCTTTCGCCAAGTCTCTCATGAGTGGCACAAGCGGTGAGACCGGAATTGTTGTGTTTGCCTGAGACTAGTCAAAGGGCTAGTGTAAAGCCAGCCTGTATGGGTGCTGGGGCTGCAGAGCATGGGGTATGATGTTAGGATCCAATTGCAAGGTACAGGACTTGAGTTCCACATTGGAAGTATGGGATTCTAGGATGAGGTTTATAAAGGGATCTCCATTTCACTTACAACAACTAGCATTTGTGGTGGGATCCTCTTAGTGCATGTTTGGGTATACATTTTTGTAAACGTAACGTAACCATAATTTCCCACTTTCCGATGCAAGAATTCAGAAGCAACAAAGGTGTTGCTTTGAGTTGAACGGGTGTTTACATGGTTGGAATGCCAAATCAAACACACTCTTAATGTTCTTATCACAACCTCTGGTTGCTAGTCCCTAATCACTTAACTTTTTTCTTTTTTTTTTTGACCAGCAAAGACAGATGTATTAATAAAGGTACAAGGGGGTACCAAAACTCATTTACAAGTGATGGAAAAAGAAAAGCTCTTACTACCCCTCCTAAGACTAGATGTAAATTATCTATGAATAAGTACAAATTACATGCTAATCTAAATTCATCTTCACATGTAGGCATAAAACAAAAACCTCACATTCGCACCTCTCTCATCTTTCCTTTTAAATTCGACACCTATAAGACATTTGACATAAGTGTTGATATGTATATGCTGGTAAGACAATTTGAATAGCAGTCCATGAGTAACATTCCTTCCACACCAAGTCAATCTCCCTGAGCGTAGTTGATTTCCCATTTTTGAAGAACCTATACATGTTGAATGATACCCCCATATTAAATGATACCATATCACCTAATTCCGGTTCCCAACTTGAGACTCAGAGATGATGTTGGATTTAATATCCATTGTGAAAATGAATATGTAAATCCTTTTGAATAGCTTTTCAACTAAGTCCAAATTGTGGACTTTAAATCATGCGTAATAATTTCTTGCAAAAAAATTGTGAAAAAATACACTTATTTCTATAGTTCCATACTATCCAGACCACTGCACACCACACAATAGACCATTTCTATAGCTCTACATACTCACTGAACTATGTGTCCCAGTTGCTACTAAGAATTTTTTTATAATCTCAGTTCAGTCAACTTATACCATAATCCAGTTCTTCATTCCAGAGCAGCACAGGGAGTTGGACATTTTTTTTTTATTTGAGAAACATTTGTTTTGCACGTGCAATAAAGTTTTTCTTGCTGAACCATATAAGATGAATCAATTGTTTCTAATATATTCTACATTTAATTTTCACAAGGTGCTAATAACTTGAAAATGCATTCCATGCTAGTTTGTTCTGAAGAGCTTATTAGCTAGCTTCAGTGAAAGAGT